AAACTTCTCCATGGCTGGATTCCGCCCCTCCCCAACCAGCCTTCATTCCCTCTCACTCCAGGCACTTTACTCACAAGGGGAAGCAAATCCAGCATTGGAGTAGTTTTGCAGGTTAACGGATATGCATTTGCAGCTCCTGCAAACTTCTCCATGGCTGGATTTCTCCCTCCTCCCCCGGCCTTCATTCCCTCTCACTCCAGGCACTTTACTCACAAGAGAAAGCGATACTTCTAGTGTCCATGAAGAATCCAGCCTTGGAGCAGATTTGCAGGTTAACGGACTGCTGCTCTACCCACAGTCATATGTTTTCAAGTGGCTGCTTGAAAATGCATGGCTAGGGCAGAGAAGCAGTCCTCCTTTAAACTGGGGTAAGCGAGCATCGGGCGGGCGGGGCAAGCGAGTGAGTGGAAACCAGGCAACTGGGTCAGGGGCGTGGCCAGCCAGATGTTGCTACCAGTTCGGCGACCCACGCCAAATTCTTGCTACCGGTTTGCCCGATTAGGTGCAAACCGGCTGAATACTACCTCTGTTATGCATGCTTCAGATATTCTTCTGAATTTCTGGATAATAAAGGAAATGCCTGTTACATTTACCAGACATTAATCTTACATAAGGCATTTTTTCTAAAAGACTGTTGCTTTTCTTTTTTTCCTTTTGAGCCCAATAGTACATGGAAAAGGTAGAGAGGGAGCGAAGGCATTTTTAAGCCTCTTCCAGCCCTCAGAAATTTTAATTATTACCAACCATTTCCTCACCTATTCATATAGCAGAGACAATCCTGTCCAATGATTCACCTTGAATTCTTAGTGAGACAGTAAGAACTGATTGAACTGAGAACTAATATGCAGTCTCTTGTCTCTGTGAAATATAAAAATATAGAGTGGTAACTAATGCTAAAAAGTCTATCAAATACACTACTTCTCCAGCAGCTTGCTGTTTTGCTGTTCGTGAAGGAAGTCTTCCTCCTGTGGCCCACTCATTCACCCACACAGAATTCTATTAATTGATTTTCTTTAAATTTTTGTCTGATGACCAGAGAAATAAAAACAGTTTTTTTCCCCACATGCATTTTTGACATTCTTCCTGTCTCAAAATATGTATCACTGGCCTATCAGAATACAAATCTACTACAGAAAGCAGTTAATGTATTAATACGTTCCTAATTAATAGAGAACAATTTCCTGTTCAATTTTTTGCAGTTTACAGCAATTTTAGAACACTTTTAGCAAAATACCTTAAACATTTATCCTAGTTATCCTATCCAATATGTTGATATTTCTGTCATTTATAAAACTACCTGAGTCTTCTTTTAACTTATTTATACAGTGTTGGTCATCCCTTTTCTAGTGTCAAGCAATATCAACTGCAAAATGTACTGTGTGAAAAAAGGTGTTAATTTGAATCAGTAAAGCATTATTTGTAATGTAAAAGAATAAAGAGTATCTCTCCCATTTTCATGATGTCTATACAATACTAATTACAATTTAATTAGGTTTTAATTATTCCTTCTAAGTTACAATTCTTATCAATTCTTATATGAAAGACCCAACCCCATTTCTTTCTCAGTTCTATGATATTAAGATGACTTTAGTGTTGAATACTATATTCAGCTACAATATGCTTTAGTAAATGTTTTCATTATACACTTTTCCACACCCACATTCTCTATGTCAATTGCTGTTAAAAACAGTAAGCCAAGACTTAAGAATCAGACCATTCAAATATCACTGCAGACGCTAGTTAAAGTTGAAAACTGAAACTTTACTGACTGGGTGAATGAAATTAGATACTAAGCAAACTTTCACTGACTTCTTAATGAGCCTAAAGAGAATATGCAAATTCCCACAATTCAGGAAAATAATTAATGAATAAGGGCAGATAAAGTGGTGACTGAGGTTTGCCATAATTTGGATTAATCATGAATAAATGAAATCGATAACTTGGAAGGAATTATATTTTTATAAAAAGATAAGTCTCTATACTGGAGGGAGGATAGGGACTATTATTTTAAAGCTGCAATCCTAAATTGAGTGTGAAAATAAACAGTGTGATAGAGGTAACAACAAGGAGAGCAGCTTTTTAAAATACAGAATGCTTTCCCCATGGTTGAACAGCCCCTGTATTTCCAAAGTTTTCAAAAGTGTTTCTAACAGACCTAGGTTTATAACTCAATGAAGAATTCCAGTCTCCCAATATTTTAATTCTGAAGTAGATGCCTCCACAGAAAATTTCTAGAAATATGCGGCTTAGTGGAATGCAAAGGAGCATAAAAACGGAAAATTCTTAAGAAATATCTTTCTCACCACATATCTTACGTTTTAAATTAAATAATTATTATTCCATACTAATTACGCATTCTTTGAACTTCTACCTTCTCATTAGACCACATATTAAAATGAGTTAAGTTTTTATGTCA